ACTTTTCGCATTATCGACATCAACACTTGTCAACATTCATGTTTCACAAAATTTCATTATCTCCTTGGCAATGATATCTGAGTATTTGATACAACTTCAAACGCATTAATCAAAGCCAAGAGTTGCTTCATTTTTTTGACAATTGACAACAGAATGACTACTTTTGGCGAAAAAAGTTGAAAAGTGACTTTCAAGTTAATGAGAATAAATTTTTCCTTTCTGAAAAGATTGCAGGACGGTAGTCAAATTTTTAGAAGTTTAAAATCGTTGCTGTGATGAAATACATTACTCTCAGACTTACATAAGTTCTCTGAGTTTTCTAGAAGTTTGCCTTTAATATGAAAGTTGGTAAAATCCAAGAATATTTTTCTGTTTTTTTTGCCATCATACAGGATAGCAAGAGTTGTCTGTATCAGTTAGAATTTCAATGTTGATCTAAAAAGATATTCTTTTTCTCAAACGAGATTGAATCAGAGAATTCCTTTTTTTCTGTATCACACTTGGCAAAAATCAAGTCGCGAAATTTTTCGAATGAATTAAGTTAAAAACAGATTTACATTGTAAAGTGTACAAAAAGAAATAACGAATATGAAACCAATTATAATCCTCTGTACGAGCGGTTTTCAATCACATAATCTATAAGCCTTGAAGTTCGAAATACAATTGATTTTTCACTCAAAACATGAGCCACTTTGAGCTGAAAATTTTATCACTATTCTAACACGTGCAACAATGTCAGACTCTACCTACCACTAGCAACAAAATACTGTTATTGTGTAGAATACAAATATGATCGTATTTGTCATTTATTCATGTATAAGTTCTACTATACCGAAGGGTAGACATATACCCTAACGACTTGATTCTCTTCTCTCGTCAAGTTATCCTTCTTCATATCTAATTTGCACAAACAAATCTGTGTCACGAAGTTATCGATGCGACTGCCAAAAAAGGAATAAGAAAAAGAGAAAATGTCGCAAAAGCCTTTGTAGAGCGAGCGAGAAACTCAGGTAGAACGTTCTGTAGAACAAAAAAAAAGAGGCGAGAAAAGAGAATATCATCATTGACGTTTCATAAGATCGACATGATCCATTTATAACGAAAATGTGTGACAAGGACTGCATTAATTTATGATTTGTATTCTAGTTTATTTTTCTGCTCGAATATCAAATGCAAGTGGAAAAGAGAACAAGACAAGATTGAAAAAAAAAGTTAGGAAAAAAGAATAAAATGAATGCAACTTTTGATATGAAGAAATTCCATAGACTATTTTATGAAGCATGCAGATCAATCAGCATAGATATTTGATGTTGCTCGTATTACAGATGAAGATGATTAACAATCTTTATGCTCCAAAGGACATATAGGATTTCAAAAAAGATCGACGTTTTGACTAGAAAAAAAAATTTTCTTCATTATTAAAAATCTCAAATATTATTGTTGAATTTTAAGATATTAAGAAAAAAGCTTAAACTTAGGGTGTGGATGTAGTCTTCTATTCTTCCACACCCACGCCCTCGATTTTCAGAATGAGACTGTGAAAATTCAGTCATCAATAGTTGTAATCCACTTGTATGTTGATGATGGAGAATAGTCTCTAGTTTGATAGGAGTTTAATGATCATTGTATAACTATGAGATAGTTTCAAAATACTAAAATATCTTGAGATTGAGGGTGAGGAGTCTATCAACTTGTTTTAGAGTTTGAATGCTCGAAAATCTTTTACTTTTTGGTTTTTCATTAAATAATTTATTTTAGAGAATAATGAAATTCAATTTATTTCAACTGCAGAAGTTCATCTTTTCGTTTTTTTTTAACATTCAGCAATAAAACAAATCTCATTGATAAGAACTGTATACTATCTTATATGCCGTTGAGAGCCAGTTCGAGACAGTAGTGTAAGAACCAATACTGCTTATTCCATTCATCGTCGTTAGTAGATTTATTCTCTTGCTGAAGTGCACTATTGTTTTGTTCCATCGTCTGATTATAATGACGACGCCAAGCCTGTAATCCTACTTCAAGATATCGTAAGCCCATATATCGACCTACTTCATGAAACCTCTCCATAAATAAAGCTGGAAGAATATCTAGACCGAGCTCGGCAAGAGCATCTCGATAACAAAGAGCTGTTTCAACAGAAAAATAATTTGGTAAATCCAAATAAAAACTACCATATGCTGCTTGTTCCCAATAGATAAATGCCGGTGATCCATTCATACTACGAATACGATCTGGATTAAGATCTGTATGAATTAGTGTTAATGATGTACCCTCCATAGTACGTTCACGAAGAAAAGCTACCAATCGTGATAATGAATCATCTAAACGATCTGTATAGCAGCCATATTCAAGAGCAAACTTGGGTATGGTCAAGTTCAGATGCCATTCTTTGCGCCATGCTCGTAGCCATAAGCGATCTTCGAAATTTTCGGTTGCTGATCGTAACCACTCTGGATGTTGACCAAGATTCATATAATGAATTCGAGCTAAAGCATGAGCATAAGCCTTAGTAACAGGATCAAATGGTCCTTGCCCTTTTATCTCTGAATCCGCATATTGTTGATAATAGCGGCTTCTTTCAGATAAAAGATTCGATGTACGCGTAGGTGGAACAGCTTGTTTTTGATCACATAATAGTGCAAGTACTCGATTTTCAAGTAAACTTGCGTCTCTGCTAATCATTTGTTTGTTTTCTAAAGGTCCCGCGCCTCGTGTAAAATACACTTTATAATAGCAAACTTCACCGCCGGATTCTTCTTGTTTTCCATCAGATTGTTGTTCGATATGTTGAATACAAACAGATTTATCATACATTTGTTGTAATAAATTTTGAAAGCAGACCTTATCATACGAATCCATTCTTATCCACAAATCTGAAAATATGCTACAATGAGAGAGGTGTTCAACAACTGAGAAATAGGAATTTCTCGATATTTTTTATTTGACATCTATGTGACAATGAGTATGTGAATATGAAAAAATTTGTAGAAAGGCCATAACTTTGTTAATTAACAGTAATGAAACTGAAAAAATTGATGGATAATTTTCAATCCATCGAGGAATTATCATAGGACTGTTGATAGTTCCTCGACACTGCTGGATATTTCATGCAAATATATACTATACCTGTGTAATGACATCATATGACCTATCTTGACAAAGCAATTTTTAGGATTACAGTATAGGCACAGATAAAAGCAAATTTCATCATAACAGACATTCTATCACAAAAAGGTGATGAAATGTTTCTTTCACAATAACCTATTTCACTGCAAACGAGAGCACGGAATGTGGTTCTCTTGAAATATACTAAGGTGACAATTACTAATGAGCATATTCATCTGAAACATACCACGTTTACATCAAAGTTCGATGCCATTGATAGAATCTACTATAACTTGCAGAGAATTTTTCTGGTAATAATTTGTATTTTAAAATTGTCATAAATGTTGTACATCTTAAGATAAAATGAAAATACTTCTGTGTTGATAGTAGCGTTCCTTACTAAAATATCCCAGCAAAAAAGCGTTTTATCATACTATTCTTTAATGGAAACAATATATTTGGTCAGTGAAACAGATGAAATGGTCAATATTCAAACGAATAGTCATACTAACAACGTGTTTGAATATATAGTTCTCGAAATTTAATTCATCAAAATATTAATTGTATTGTCGAATAGCTAAATGGTTTTTGCAAAAGATGTTCTAAAGTCAAGAGTGAACTGAGCTCTGATCAAATGTGTCTCTCTTCCTTGCAACTAAAAAAATGTTTCTTATTGTATTCACTTTATACGCAAATGATTTTATTTAAAAAGTTCATTCATTTAAACATGAGACATATTTTTCATATTAGAAAAAAATCTGTTAATATGATCAACTTTTTTCTGAATAATTTTGAAAAAAAAAACAAATAAAATTATCTATAGTTCTAAATAACAACAAATCAAGATTTTATCGAAAGACTAATGTATTTTTCCCAAAAAGAATTCCTGTATTCTTTTATTTAACAATAATATTTGTTAACAAATCCCATCACTATAGATACAAATCATGATTATCAAATAATAATTAACATTTTTACTTCTCCTACATATACATTTAAATACATAAAAAGAATAATTGATGATATTTTGACAGTAAAAATCGAAGGATCAATTTGAAATTTTTTCTGTCCATTTGATAGTTTAAAAATGTTCCAATCAAGGGCACAAAGTAACAAGTTATTTAACTTTTTAAAATGTATAAATTTTATTAAGAATTAGTGTTCGATATGAATCTTTTAGATTGACTTTGTTGAATCTAAATATAATATTTGATGAGTAAACTATTAATGAAATCAGTAGATGACAAGCAAAAGATGATACATTAAAAACTAAG